ACAGTCCCACACACCTGACTCAGGTCCTTTCAAACTCTACAGGTGGTGAGCACTCCCCCACCTCCGTGTTGGGGTCCTGCTGTCACCACCCCTTCCTGCTCTGTCTTTGCGTCATTCCAGGTCTTGGGACAAAATGCCAGTGGTTCCTCTTTAGCCCTCTGGCCTGAGGGTGTCAGGACTCAAAGAACATCCCATAAACTCCCCAGACACAGAGCCCGCTCCTACCCTAGTGAAGAGACTGTTCATCCGGGTCCTCTTGGTTAGAAAACAGCGTAATTGAGGGGCAGCCCGGTGCAGCGTGGGGGAGCCTAGAGCTCCGAGGGGCGGGTGGGGAGACCAACACAACTAGCCCCTTCCCCACTCTCTGCAGTCTCGGGGGGACCTGGGCTGGCCAAGGCCTCACGGTGTCACAGGTAGGTGCCCAGGTGTGGCACTGGCACACCCTCTCTCCCACATTCATCCACACAGCTGTCACCCTGACCCATGACACTCCCATTAAACAAACGGTAGTGGCTAAGCCTGTCTGCTGGCAATAGAGTGTAATGTTCAGGAAAAGGGTCAGGATGCCTGGTCCCTCTACTATTTTCAGATAGCGGGCTGATTTTCTGGCAGCCTTTCTGGATAGGTGTCTTTTTCTAGCCCATCTCTCTCAGAGCTTCCTAACCCCAAACAGTCCTGGCTCCCATCAATGGGCCGCTCTTCAGAACAGGGAAATGTTCTGAAGACGCTCTTGTTGGCCTTTGAAGGGAATGAAAACCAAAGGCTGAGACCCAAGGGCTAGAAACATGTTCCTCTCCACCCACCACCAAGTGTGTCCGAGAGAGGCTCTGGGTACCTGTGCGGCTCCCGAGGAGTCCAGGAGTTGGGGAAGAGAGTGCTTCCGGCCATCTCGGGAGACCTCCAGGATCCTAATCCGGGGGTCTCCATTTCTCACCATCAGCTCATTATATTCTTCAACAGATTCTAGACGGTGCACACCCCCTTGAAAACAGAAGGCACACACATACATAGCTGTATAAGAGACAAGTCATAAAAGCATGCATACACCGGCATAGAGTAGCTGCACTTATACCCGCATCTGGGTTGCACAATGGGCTGCTAACCAAAAGTTCAGCAGTTTGAAGCCTCAGCCACTCCACAAGAGAAAGATGAGGCTTCCTACTTCTATAAAGAGTTAGTCTCAGCATTGGGCCTCTACACAAGCACTCCTTCCATGCAAGAACACTTTGTTCTATTAAACTGGCATTCCATGATGCTCACTGTCCCAACACAAGCGCTGAAGACAAAGTGGGTGCATAAGCAAATGTGGTGAAGAAAGCTGATGGTATCCGGCCATCAAAAGATACAGCATCAGGGGTCTTAAAGGCTTGAAGATAAACAGGTGGCCATCTAGCTGAGAAGCAACAAAGCCCACATGAAAGAAGCACACCAGCCTGTGTGATCATGAGGATCATGTATCAGGCATCATCTGAACAAAAAAACATATCATTGTAAATGAGGGGGAGTG